GAAGAGAGGAGAGCAGCCCGGTATCTGGCCGGGTCCCTGCTCTCCCCCCCCGCCCCCCCCTCGGCCAGGCTGGGGCGCCCAGGAGGCCAAGGATGCGGAGGGGACCGGCCGGCTGCGAGCCCGGCCTGGCCGTCCGGGCCCTGCAGCGAGAGGCGGCCTGCTCTGGAGCGGCATTCCACCGCCAGGCCTCACGCCAAGGTATTTATGGCTGGCCCTTTATTGCACTTGATGGCGAGCCTGCAGGGGCGCTCCGCACACCCCATTGTCCGCCCAGGCCTCGCTGGAAGGGATCCCCGGCCCTCAGCCCCTTTGAACCAAGGCAATTACCGCATCTGCTTTCCCCAGAGGGGGGGGGGGATTTGTTTTCTCTCCGTGGGCCTCCCCCCTCCTCTCGCGCCTGCCTTCCCAGGGAGATACCCAGCGCTGAGGTTGACAGATGATGACGGGCTCTCCTGGAAGGCATGAATATGCAGAGTTATGATTTGGGATGGGGCGAATGGTGAAGAGCCATGCCTAACTGGAGTCTCGGACAGAAGCTAAGCAAGAGTAGCATAAACCAGGGAATGAGTAGCACCCAGTGCTAGTAACACTGGAGGTGCACATTCTTTTTTTAAAGCCCCAAATCCCCGAAGTGCCCAGGTATTTACTCCACATTATATTCATTCACAGCCCCGCAGCCTTATCTGAAGTTCTCCCTATGGTGCTTCGGGCAGCGCCCTCTAGTGGGCCACGTGAAGAATACCATCTCATCAGGCCTAACTAGTCACAGTAGTGATATTTGTGTAAGTGATTCGTCTTTCACCCACACATGTAAAAGATGCAGGATGGAGCCTCCCGTGTCTTATCTACATATGGCACTTTTGGGTTAAACTTGGTTCCAGAGTTTCTGACCTCTTCAGGTTCCCTTGCCTATTTCCAATATTTCCCCTCTTGGTAGATCGTGGGTAACATGTAAACAAAACTAACGTCTCACTTTCTGCACAACAGAAATGCTGTTTTTCCACCTCATGCTTTATAATAAACATTCCCCTTCCCCTCTCAGTCGCTGGACTGGTTGTAAATATTCTGACATTTCAGAAACTCAGGCGATTGGGAGGGTGTCAAGCTATCTGGCTAGTATTCGTCTGTAATACCATTTATTTGTTAGATAAATCACTTGACAATCCATTGATTAAAAGTTGTCTCTCTCTCTCTCTTTCCAACCCCCACCCATGAACTGGGTAGCTGTTCTTTTTTAAAAGAAACATATTGCTAATAACAACTACTTGAAAGGCAAGAACTATTTGGAAGAAGTAAAGAAGGACAGAAACAGGTCTGCTGTCAATTTTCCAAGTGATGACAGTGTTGTTGGAGAATTGGCAGCAAATGAGCCTGTCTCTCTGCTTCTGTCACCATCCATGGAAGTGGCATCAGAAGGCCTCCTTCCCCTCCTGGAGCACTGGCACCACAGTCAAACTGAAGTAGGCTGGAGGGGAAGGTGGACTGCAGGTGGGACCCCATAATTGCAAAGCAGTTCCGCCCCCAGGAGCGCATGGTGCGTGCCCATGAAACCACCTGATACATCTCCCACAGCTGAGCAATGAAAAGCTATCCCACAAGGGAAGGGCCTGTGTAGGCACCCCCCCCCTATGGTAATAGGGCCTTTACCGTGAGTGCTGGCTGAAGAGCCTCTTCCCCCCACTTCCATTTGCCTTTTCAGCCACCATGGCGAGAAGAGGATCTTTTGAGTGCCAAGAGGACCAGCATACGAAAGACCCCTTTCCCCTCCTCTCTCTGCTTCTCCTGCCACCTGTGGATTAGCAAGGCAAATGAGATAGATGGTTATTGGACACAGTAGTTGAGCCTTGACTTCTCCATTACTGAAAGATGACTGGCTCTGAAAATCAGTGACCAGCAAGCAGATGGGGGGAAGGGGGGCTGTCACTAGGGTGGTGGGCTTCAGGCAGATGGCATGGCAAGGCTTGTGCCAGAAGAAGTCAGAAAGAACCATGTTAAAACTGAAGCAGGACAAGACGGTGTCAGGCTGGCTTCTACGTGGGCCATGTCCTCTAAATCCAGCCTGTGGTTCCTGGGTCACGTAGGTGAGCTCAGGCTCTGCTTTGGGGAGGTTCTTGTATTACAGAGAGATGTCCTTGTCTAGGGCTCTGGCTACTCCTTGCCTTTCTGTTGTCAGAGCCTAACTAAAGAAGACAATTAGTCACATATTTGAAAAAGGGTGCTTAACGCTGTAAGTTTTGTTTTGAATGTGGAAAAAAGCAGGTTGAGTAAAAACAAATAGTAAATGATAAATAGCCACTTCTCCCTTGCCCCTTCAGCAGAAGATGGAGAAAAAGAGTGGTGATGAAGAAGACCCAAGATCCTTCCTCCTCTCCATCTCTTCTGAGCTCTGCCTGACTTAGGACCACAGGAAAGTAAGCAAAGGCAGCAGCTGCTCCCCTCCCTCCCTCCCTCTGCTTGACTTTTGGAACAATGATGCTGCCTCAATGAAGCTGTTGTCTCTGCTATGCTGTCACCATATCCCTCTGGCTCTGGCAGTGCAGAATGGAAGGCTGCTCATGGAAGCAACTATCTCATTCTCTCCTTTGATCTCATGAATTCTTCCTCTGAACCACAGAGTAGCAGCTCTTCTGCCCAGGAACTAACCTTCCCTAAGTGCGCCACTCAGAGGAAAACAAGCAAGAGAAATGAGCAGCTATCATACTAATTGCTCAGCCTTTTGTTCTTTTGATAGGAAGGATTAGATTAGTGATTGTTGCCCCTGATTCCAGTTGTTCATACTTCTTTGTGCTTCTCCTCTTTGCTCATTCTATCAGGCAGTGCAGAACAACAGTAAAGGAGTAAAAGGAAAGTGGCCTGTTCACTCGCCCTCTGTAATTGAGCGGACTGGAGGAGAGGAGTGAGTAAGCAAGAGGGGGAGCCAAAGGTGGTTGCTTCTTGGAGAAGCAGTTGCTCCCCTTGCTCACTCATCCACTCTCACTAAGTGCTGTGGATGGCAGTGGCTGGGCTAACAGGACCCCACCCCCCTTTCCATCATGCTACTCAGGTGAGCCAGTGAGGGGTAAGATGACTGCACTTTCTGTGACCAGCCCCTGTGTTGCACCTGCCCAGCAATAGAGACCAAGAAGACAGTGAGCAGTGGCCATTTGCACTCTGCCTCTTAGCAGTATGGGACGAGAGAGGAAACTAAAAACTTGGAGAAGTAAACTTTGCATGGATAACTATGCTAATGGCTTCCTGGCCTGAGAAGCCCCTTTTGCTCTTTTTCCTACTCTGCAGTAGGACAGGGCAAAAGCAGGAGCAGGAGCTCATGAGTGAAGCAACTAAAGGCCCTCAAGGTGTTTTGGACCACAACTGGTCCAATTTCTTGCCATTGGCTATGCTGTTTGGAGGAGAATTGAAAGGTCTGAAGGATGACCTGTTCTTGCTAAGTAGCACAAAAGCAAATTGTAGATATTAATGTGTCCCCAGATGCTCCATTGGTGTCCACAGTGGCATAAGCCTCCAGCATCATATTTATTTTCAGCAATGCCTTTGGCTCCCCAAAGATCCCACTGGAACAGTACAGAGCATCCTGCAAGGCTAATTTGCCTTCTGGTAAATGAGTGTTTTGTGAGTGGCTATGCCTACTAAGGCAACCATTCTGTGAATAAATACATCTCCTGTAGAAGCCATTTTGTGAGTGTGCCTGCTATTTGACTACAAAACTCCAGTTTGTTCCCTTCCCTCAAAAATAAACCAGTCAGACCAATTCTAGCCACTTCCTAAAAATACAAGAGAGAGTTGGATTGACAAGATTTTGGAGGTGAGAACTGTACAGCTTTACACACTTGCACACCTGCATACCTTCTTTCCTTAATCTGCCACCATTCTGAAAGCTGCAGTTACAACACATCTGGAGGGCACCAGGATGGGGAAGGCTGACACAAAACTACTTGTTTTCGTAACACAAGTATTACAGCCGCCTGGCAGCTACTAGAGAACTCCAAAGGTGATTAAAAAATTCAGGAAATTTTTGGCGTAACAAAAAGAATTACTTCTTGCTGCTCTACTTTCTGTGGATATGCTCACTGGCATAGGACCTTGGTTATCCATCTCTTTAAATGATGCTATCCTAGACGTGCATGAAAGTAAATCCTACTGAACATGGTGGGATCCATACGATTGCACCAAGCTGCCTCTTTCGGCACAAAGAATATAGCTTCAGATATACTTGATTACGATTAAGATTAAATTATTAATGATGAAAATATCTTTCACTGTTTGCATAGAAATCTGGACATGGATCACCCAAGCATCAAACTATATTCCCAAATTGTCTGGTGCAATCCTAGATGCTTCTTAGCTCCTGTAGACCCATTTTAC